GACTGGGCATCGTTGGCCGGAGACACCACGACTGCCGCCGCCTGTGTCGAGAGACGGCGCGCGGCGGCGACGGGTGTTCGGAAAATACGGGGCAACATTTTTCACGAATGCAGCTCAGTGTGAGTGTGCGCTATTGGCCAGTATGGGTTTGGGTTTTTTCTATATATTGAGTAAAGCCCAGCCCATTAAAGAAACTGAGCTTTGAATTTCTATTGGGCTTAAGTATTCACAACTTTCGAAAGATAATGTATTTCACAAATTTTTATTTATTAACAAATTTAACAACATTATCCCTAACAATCTTCTATTACTATATAATTAGGCAATCTATATATATATAAAAAGAATTACCATTTTTCTAAAATAGTAGGTCAAATTTTGGCAGCATTAATTACCTACTATTTTTAGTAACTTTTTATTTTTATTTTTCTAAAATAGGGCAGCATTTAATGTTGTCCTTAAATTATGGAGTTTGTTACTTTTGTTTCCCGAAAATAAAGTTACCTTAAAAGAAACAATTTTTTTTTATACGGGTGACTAATTATTTTAGGTTGTAGTTTGATTTTTTAACAAAAAAGAAAAAATGAAATCAGATTTTTACCTTCTCCATTTTATCTTTTTTTCCGATTATTTGAAAAAAAAAACAAAAAAAAAACAATTGACTTAGAAATCAATGTATGTACATATTTTTTGTGGTATGTCTTTTCTTCCATAAACGTCCCAATTGATATTGGAATTAAAATTTTGGTACATCATTTCTTACAGGAAACACATGCCCATTATATTTTGAATTTATTATACATCAATATATATATCTATAAATTTGGTAATCTTTTTGAAAAAACTAATAATCGGATAAAAACCCGCCAATATAGCTTTAATTTCGAATTTCAAAATATTTTGATTTTATTATATAGTAATATGGTAAATAAAAAGGAAACGATTTTAAAAATTTATTGAGAATTTATAAAATTTATTTGTTTTTGTTTACAAAAATAAATAATTTGCTTAATTTTTAACAAATCAATATTTGAAATTTTAAGCCATGTCCGACGCACGGGTTTCCCCTTAAAAAAATGTAATATCGCATAAATGTCATTTTATATTGAAATTGTATATCTTTTAGTGTTTTAAAATATTTAAAAAGTAATTCGTCGAGTTTTAGTTCTTATACTACGTAGCGTAAATAGAATTCCGTGTTGCGTAAGCTGTAAGAGTATACAATTTACTTTGTTAAAAATATCAAAATATTTGCATATAATAAAATTTAGTGGTTAATTTAAAAAATTATCTTAATACATATTATATGACAATAAATCTTTGAATAAAACAATAGTTGAGTATTATGATGAATAAAAAAATGGTGATTTTATTTTGGTATAAAATGTCCGAACTTAAATAGTATAAATTTCATTTGGTATGAAGAGAAATGTATTTGAATTTTGAAAATAAAACAAGTGGTATGAATTTTATTTAGTACAAGTATGAAAGTCGAAGTTTAGGTTGATTTGTTATCAAATCAAGGTGATATGACTCTCAAACTTTACTGTTTTAAAATATTCCCATAATAACTTACCATAAGATAAGAAAATTGGTGTGTATTTCTCTACAAAATTAGAAAAATATTTGAACAAATATTTGTTAATTAAACTTAAAATTTATAATTTAATTATAGAGAATTAGTTGATAAATTTGACGATAAGGTAGCCGACAACAATCTAGAAAATTTTGAGATTGGTAAAATATAGATATACGTAAAATATACAAGGATGTTTATTGTGTAGTCCAAATTTAGATTCCAAATTTAAAATGAAAATAAGTAATTATTTATTAACTTGGAGGTAATTAGAATAGTCAATTACTTATAGTTTAAAAAATTACTCAACTATATAATTTTTTTGAAGTGAAGAGTTTATACAAAAATAATGTTATTTTAATTAATTAAATAATATAAAAATTTATTTTTTACTTATTATTCACATAGATTTTCAAATATATGATAAAATTTTATCAAAATAATTATTTTATGTAACCACATTGTATTCAAATTGAATTTCTGAATAAAAATTTCAAAACTACAATTATTTTGAAATGATATAAATATATAATGTAGTTTAATATCAGTTATGTGCACCGTACGAGTTGATTTTATATTTTAAATTTATAAATATTATTTAATGAGCATTTTTAATTTATAAATCTTAATGAATATCTCTTACCCGTGCATCGCACGGGATTCGTACTAGTAATAGTATAATACTCCCTCCTTTTTTAAATAAATGTCGTTTTGACTTTTTTGATTCATCCATTTTGCTATGTATCTAGACATATTAATGTCTAGATACATAGCAAAATGAATGAATCAAAAAAGTCAAAACGACATTTATTTAAAAAAGGAGGTAGTAGTATTTATACTTATATTAAAAGTTATACTATTTACTAAATGTAGTATGTAGAATAGTCAACTCTAATTAATGATTTGCTATTTTTATCAAGCATTTAATTAATGCACCTAATATTTTTTATATGCAAATCAAATTAGCATTTAATTAGTTCCTAAAATATTGGGTATGCAATATTAATTTAGGAATATCCATGTATTTCCTAAAATGTTGGTATGCAATACGTAAAAGAAGATTTTTTTAATTTTTTTAAATGTAAATATTACAACACGTAAAACTATTTCAGTTACTTTTTATTTTATTTTACATATAAAATTTAATCAATATTTAATGCATCCTACAAAATTGGATTTAGTTTAATTCTCCATACAATTGGTTATAACTTTTTCAGTTGTACTTTTTTTATTTATTTATTTTACACTTTTAAATTAATGAAACTCTCCGAAAATACCAAATCAAATGATTTATGAAAGTTTTTTTTTTTTGTTTTTTTTAATAATTTTAAATCTATATACCCAGCTTAAAAAACTCATCGCATAGATATGGATGAGTTTAAGAAAAAATTCATAACCCAACTTATAAAATTTCATCTCCACGAGTCAAAAAAATCACATCCCTCTATCGTAATTATCTTATTTTTATTATTTTCAAAATTCATTATCTAAATTCTTATTTTTCTTATTTAATTCCTTCTTATTATCTAATTGTATATAAAATATGTTCTGATTTTGTTCAATTCTCTAATTGTATTTGTATTATATCCCATAAAATCAGTTTAACAAAAAAATTCCATAATATCGATGTTATGAGATTTTTTTTGTTAAACCGATTTTATGGGATATAATACAAATACAATTGTATGGAAATCTTTACTAAAATAAAAAAAAAAAACTTTATTTATTATCTAATTGTATGGAAATTTGTTCGGATTTTATAGTACGTACTATAAATTGTGCACCCGTGTTCATGAGCTACTTAACGGGCAAGCTCTGTGGAAATAACTCATTTAGTGCTTTTGTCCCGTGCATACGGTATGTATTTGTATTACACATACTAGAAAATTGTGCACCCCGTGCATCGCACCGACTCTGTACTAATAAATGACCTTAAAATTGTGCATCCCGTGCATCACCCATGTTCACATTTTTGCCTATTACAGGTCACGTACTATATATATCCTGTACACTTTTCTTTATTCATTTATATAATTATGAGACTTGATAAATGACCTTAATTTTGTGCACCCCGTGCATCGCACGGGATCTGTACTAGTTACTATATAATTAGGCAACCCACTTACTAAAAATAGTAAGTGTTTTAGTGGGTCCCTCATTGAATTACTATTTATAGAAAGTTAGTTTCAAATTTTTATTATTTTATTAAACGTGCTTCAACCTCTATTAATTTTTTTTTTTTTTCATTTTTAATAATAGGTTAATAGTAAAAGTGTACCTAAATTTGTTATTACCAATTGTAGATAGACATTTTAAAATATTTTGTCTGTTTTTGATATCTCTTTAATATAAAAGTAAATTTCTTTTTACATGTACATGATATGTTAAATCACGGTGAATTATTTATGATGTATGTTAAATAATAATTTATATTTAAAGCCTTCCTAAAAATATGAAGGTGCTAGATAATAATATGGTACTTATTTAAATAAAAGAATGGTTCACAAATAAAGAAATTGTAAGTATATGTATAGAAAATAATAGTTAATAAATAAGATGCATTATAAATTATAAAACCAGACAAGTAAAATAATATATTCAAGTGTCAAAATACGATCTAAATTACATGATAAATTCAAACAAACTATAATAAAATGTGTTAAGATAATAAAATAATTTGAGAATTTTCTTATACCCCAACTATATATATTTGCGCATTTAGTACATGATGTTCCAATTAAATCAATTTAGTTACTTA